CAACAGACTGGAAAATCGAATCAACGGACCGGTCGCTCGACGCGACACAGATCTTTACCTCTGAGATCTTTTTCTCATCAATTAAATTGAATGGTTCACATTCATTTATGAATGTATAAATATTTTAGTATTTTTTCTCCATATGTTGCATTTAATTAATATTTTCCTTAATTACAGACTATGGTAGGGGTGATATAGAAGATTATAGGTTTAATTGGGCAAAGGCAAAGCGTTTGCCTTCCAGAGGTTTCCTACTCCCATATACCCCTTATAATGTCCCAAAGACGGAAGGGGGGAACCCCTAAAACCCAGCGCTACCTCCTGGAGATGACAACAGTTGGACATCCTGATGTTCTCTAGTTGACAAGGGAAGTGAGTTCCAGTCCCCAGGGAAATAACCAACTGTCCACCCTAATTTCTGACAGGAGTGTGTAAGAAAGGCACATGATGAGGAAGTCTCTGCAAGAGTGGATATTTGTGTTACCAGAAGTGAATGTGGGTTATAGCACTCACTTTTTAAAAATTTCATACGTTTATATGTACAAACATACATATTACTTTCTAATATATGTAGACATGCACAGACATCTTTCTCTCTGAATGTTGGGTAAGGTAAGTAGGCCTGGAGAAGAAAGAAAAATATAGAAATAAAGGGGCTCTGAAAGTACCATGTCAGAGTGAATGATTACATTTTTTTCTCTTCAGGAAGTTCTGCATCCCTAAGATGAAGAAGATCTTCATATACTTACTGTTTAGTGTGTTGCTTTCTGAAAAATATGCAAATACTCAGACATGTGAAATTGATAGTGTGATTGAATTGAAGACTAAGAAACTAATTGATTCAGCAGGTATTTAGTGTTTTATTTTTTATTTTATTTTTATTTATTTATATACTTCCTTTATTAATATTTTTAAATAACTCAAGGTGGTAAACATACCTAATACTCCTTCATCCTCTTATTTCCCCCACAACAGCAAACCTGTTGCTTGAGTTGGCTGAGAGAGTGACTGGTCCAAAGTCACCCAACTGGCTTCCATATTAAGGCAGGAGTGAAACTCTCAGTTTCCTGGTTTCTACCTTTGTTTATCAAATTTGTGTACTTCTCATCACTCTTGCATATCTCTGGCCAGTTTACAGAATTAGTAGTAGAAAAAAGATATAGGTAAAAAAAAGTTAAAAAGCCAATTAAAGCAAATTTGAAAGGGACAATTACAAAGTAGAAAAAGGCAGAGTGACCTTTGGCCCCCCAATACCTGCAGGGTTGCATAGCTCTCTTGGACCTGAAGATAAGTTGGCAGAGCCTGGTCTTAATGTTCTTCCAGAAGGCCAGGGGGATTTGGTTTGCCTGTGGGGATAAGCTGATCCATGGGATGGGGACAACAGCAGAGAGGGCTCTCTTCCTGGACTCTGTCAGTCAAAGTTCTTTCATCAAGAATATGGGACATGAGGGGTTGAGGGCGGAGCTGGCGTCGCGACGATACGGCATGCGATCTTGGAGGTCTGAGATCGCAGCCGATATCTTTGCCTCTGGACGGTCCAAACGGATCTAAACCATCCTGAAGAGATGGCGAAAGTGAGGAGCGCATCCTGTGGATCCCAGGGACACCGCAAAGTCCCTAGTAGATCCAGGAGAAGCTCTTCTTGCCAGCGGCAAAGAGGCAGCCATTAAAGCTGCTGAAGTTGGGACAGCTCCGAAATGGAAGAAGAAAGAGAAAGTGTGCCAGTTTGGTGAGAACTCTTTATTTTAAGATTTGAAAGGACACTCTAAGGAAAAGAAAAAATCTGTAAAAGTTTTGACAGAAGTGATTGAGCGGCGATTTGAAATGGAAAAGTCAAAGTAAGGTTTTTGTTTTTTTTCAATGCTGGATTTCTATATGCGATTCTGTATTTTGGAACTGGACTGGTTCTTTTTTATTTATATTTATCTTCCCTTCTCTTTTTTGATTTTTGTAATATTTTAGGCTAGAGGCTCCCTTTTGTCATTTTGTTATTTCCCTTTTTTAAATATATTTTTTCTTTTTTTTTTGGTAACTTTTATTACGTTTGGCTTGGGAAAGAAGGGGGAAGTGAGAGCAAAGAAACTTTGTAACACTGCCAACTAGAGACTTGAAAATACTTTCTGAGAAAGCTGAGAAAGAAAGAACTGAGATTCCTCTTCAAGGACATTGCTAAGTGATAAGATAGAGGGAAGAGCATGGGAGAGTGTTATTGCAGATGTTCTTCTGGATTTCTATCAACAATTGGAGTTTGGTGTGGAAGCTTAAGAAAAGCTGACAAGTCTTTGGAGAAGAGAGTTATAATAAGAACCTTGGATAACTAAATAAAGTGCAGTGTGTCCTTTTTATTCTTTTTTTAAGCTGTGCTACCCCTCCTTACCAGCTTTACTGTGTTTTTTTTCTTTTAAAATCTCTATTCTTGTAATAACTACTTGGGTTTTTGGCCTGGTTGGAGTCTGTTTTTGTCTTTTTTTTCTTTGGAAGTCCAATTTTCATGTTTGCTTTTTATTTTAAAGGGAAAGCCTCAAAAATCTTTTCTTCTATTTTTCTTCCTGGCATTTTTTGTTTTTTCACCCACCTTTTTGGCTCATTTTTACGCACTTTTTTTTTCTTTTTGAAACTTTTCAATTGGATTAAGGTGTTGAAGAACCTGAAGAATTTTTCTTCTCTTTTTGTTCTTTTCAAGTCTTTTTTTAAATTTAACTATTGATTGGATTAAGGTTCATAAGAACCTGAAGAAATTTTGTCTCCCTTCCTTTTATTACTTTTGGTTTTTTTTTTCTTCTCTCTACCATTTTTAATTTTTACCTTGGATTACAATTGGCTACTTCATAATTGGATTAAGGTTTAGAAGAACCTGAAGATTTTGAACCGTTTAAAATGAGCAGGAAATTTACAGCTTCTGGTCCCTCAACTTCTACTTCTGCCTCCCCACTATCTGGAGGACAACGTTCAATACAGACAATGTTAAAGCAAGAAAAAGAACAAGAAAAAGTGACTCTGCAAATGATTATGCAAGGAATCCAAGATATTAAAGCAAAATCAGAGACTATTGAAAAGAGAATATAAAACATCGAACAAAGAACAGAGAATATTGAACAAAGAACAGAGAACATTGAACAAAGAACAGGGAAAACCGATGAAAGAGTGGAGAACATTCAACAAATGATGACGAAGTATGATGAGAGATTCCAAAAAATTGAAGAAGATAAACAAAGAGACAAGAAGATTGAAGATATTGATAGCAGATTAACAGTGGTGGAACAAGATAAAAGTGGGATGCTGAGATGGGAGATGGAAAGATCAGAATTTTATCTCAGATTTCAAAACATAGAGGAAGAAAAAGGACAAAATCTAGCTGAGATAATGATAGAAATATTGGCTGAAGCTTTGGAAATAACTGAAGAGAAGATGATGGATGGAATAGATGAGGTATACCGAGTTTTTACAAGATATGCGATGAGAAATAACCTACCAAGAGAAGTTCATATTAGATTTACAAAGAAAGCCATTAAAACGCAAATATTACAAGTGGCAAGAGAGAAAACGTTGGAATACAAAGGCAAGGAGATTGTGGTTTTAAAACAAATACCTAGAAGAGTGAGAGAGATGAGAAGAGAATGTCGATTCTTGACTAAAATGCTACTGAAAAAAGAGGTGAATTATAGATGGCTGATCCCAGAAGGGTTAATGTTCACATGGCAAGAACAGAGACATAGAATTGATTCAATTGAAAAAGTGGAATTATTCTATACAGAATTTTTTGGAAGGAGAGAGGAAGAGGCAGAAAAAGAGATCTCACTAATTGAATTCAAGACGACCAAATGCGGACTGAAAAAGAAGAAGGAGCAGTAGGTGGACAAATGGAAACTAAAGAACAACATGAACCAAGAGCTACGAGAGCTGCCAAACCCAATTATAAAATATAATCATGGAAGAGAAAAAATTGATCACAATTAACATAAATGGACTTAATTCAGCTGTTAAAAGAAGGAAAATTTTCCATAAATTAGAGAAATTAAAATTTGATATAATTTGTCTACAAGAAGTACATATTAAAAAACAATATGAACAACTGTTGGTACAGCCAAAATTAGGGAAAATATTTACTTCTCTGACTCAATGTAAGAAAAGAGGAGTGGTTTTATATATTAAAGAGACCACCCCAGCAAAACTGATTTATACTGATGAAGATGGAAGGGTTTTAATGGTGGAAATAATGGACAATAATATGAAAACACTCCTGATTGCAATTTATGCTCCGAATGATAAACAAGAAGACTTTTATAAAAAATTACACACGAAAACAATTGAATTGGACTATGCCAATATAGTTATGATGGGAGATTTTAATGGAATTGTAGACAATAAACTGGACTATACAGCAGCAACAACAAAGCAAAACAGAAAGACTCTCCCAAAATCCTTTTTTAAAATGGTTGATGAATTAAATCTAAAAGATACATGGAGAGAAAGAAATGCTAAAACTAAACAATACACCTTTTATTCAAATAGACATTTATCATGGTCCAGAATAGATATGATATGGATGTCAACAGAATTAATATCTAATATTCAAGAAATAAATATTGAAACAAGTACTTGGGCAGACCACAATCCAATGACAATTAAATGGAAAGGACAAAAAAGAAGATTGAGATGGACGTTAAATAATACTATTTTAAAGGAAAAAGACTTTACACAGCTGATGGAGAAAGAATTGGCCTTTTTCTTTAGAGCAAATAAAAAAGAAGAGACATCAATTCAGAATGTATGGGATACAGTGAAGGCATATGCTAGAGGCTTGATAATAGACTATACAAGGAAAAGGAATATCAGGAAAAGGCAAGCCACCAAGGTTTTAGAAGATGAGCACAAAAGACTTGAAAAAGAGCTACAGAAAATGCCACAGAAAAAGGACACTAAGCTAAACATGGATATAAATAAACACAAAATGGGTCAAATAGAGAAAGAAGAATTAGCACAGAAAATTAGAGGTTTTGAAGATGCAAATAAACCAGGTAGATGGTTAGCATATAAATTGAGAAAAGAGGAAGAATCAAGGAAAATATTGCAGTTAATAGATGATCAAGGCCAAATTTGCCATGGCAACAAAGAGAAGAAACAAATTATTTGAGATTTTTATGGGAAATTATATAAGCAAGAGAATATTGATGAGGAAAGAGTTAAGCAGTATCTACAGAATGCTAATTTACCTAAGATACCTAAAGAGACTGAAAAAATGTTAGAAAGCAATATAACTATGATGGAGTTAACTGAAGCACTTAAGAAGCAAAATAATGGAAAGGCACCAGGCCCAGATGGACTTCCAGCAGAATTTTATAAAACACTACAAGAATCATTGAACCTTTCATTGCTAGAAGTTATGAATGAAGTTATGTTAAAGAAGAAGATACCCAAATCATGGTCAGAAGCCTATATTACACTTATTCCAAAAGAAGAGGCTGATCCATTGCAAATTAAGAACTATAGACCTATTTCTCTACTAAATGCAGATTATAAAATTTTTGCTTCAATATTAACAGAAAGACTTAAAAAATATTTAAATAACTTTATTCACCCTGATCAAAATGGATTCCTGCCAAAGAGACAAATCAAAGATAATATGAGAGTAACTTTGGATACTTTTGAATACTATGAGGCACACCCTGAAAAACAAATGGCTTTGATATTCTTAGATGCACAAAAGGCATTTGATAATGTGAATTGGCGATTCATGTTATTATTGTTGGAACAGATGGGTTTTGCCAGAAAATTTATTCAAGCAATAGAAGCCATATACTACAAGCAAATGGCAAAGGTAATGATAGAGGGAGAATTGACAGACTCTATTAATATAAGAAAAGGAACAAGACAAGGGTGCCCACTATCACATTTACTATTTGTGTTAACTTTGGAAGTGTTAAACAGAAATATTAGAGATGAAAAGAGTATAACAGGAATGAAAATCAAAAAGGAAGAATTTAAATTGCAAGCCTTTGCGGATGACTTGGTTTTTATCCTAGAAGACCCTTTAGAAACAGCACCAAAACTATTGGAAAAGATAGAGGCATATGGCAAGGTGGCTGGTTTGAAAATAAACAAAGATAAGACAGAGATTTTGACAAAGAATATGTTATTAAGACAAAAGGAAGAATTGGAAGATCTATTGAAAATTCAAGTCACGGATAAGATTAAGTATTTGGGGATACATTTGACAGCAAGATGTAGTACATTAAAAGAGAACAATTATATTAAACTTAAACAACAGATAGTGTTAGATTTGGCGAAATGGGAAAATCTACAACTGTCATTAATAGGGAGAATTTCAACAGTCAAGATGAATATATTACCTAGAATTTTATATTTGTTCCAAACAATTCCAATTAGACTTGGAAAAGACTATTTTGAAAATTTAAATAAAATTGTGTTGAAATATATATGGCAAGGTAAGAAAGCGAGAATAAAGTTAAAACTTTTGCAAGATGCTAGAATTAGAGGAGGATTTGGTTTGCCTAATTGGGAGTTGTATTACCAAGCTGCAAACTTGATGTGGGCTAAGGAATGGATAACACTAAGAAATACTAGATTGTTGACATTAGAAGGACATGATTTGTTGTTGGGGTGGCACACTTTTTTATGGTACAAGGGAACTAAAATACAGGGATATTTTAGAAGACATCATATACGGGAGTCTCTGTGGCTAAATTGGGAGAAGATTAAAAGACAATGTTATTTGAAAATTCCAGTCTGGTTATCGACTATTGAAGCATTTTCTTATCCTATAATATATAAGAAGGAACAAACAGTTAGATATGGGGAAATATTGAATGAAAAGGGTGAACTTAAATCTATGCAAAAATTAGAGGAACAAGGTATAAAGATGAATTGGTTTTCATATGCACAAATACATTCAAGGTATGATAAAGATTTTAAAACAGAAGGTTTCTATGATAAACTGACTGATTTAGATAAGATTTTGACAGGTACTGATGAAAAGGTGATTAAAAAATTGTATGGATATTTATTAGAAATTAAACTAGAAGAAGAACAAGTTAAAGAAACTATGATTGCTTGGGGGGAGAATTTTGGATATGGGATTGACTTAGAGAAATGGCAAAAATTGTGGTCTCAAAATTATAAAATGACAATGTCAAATGCATATAAAGAAAATTTGTATAAAATGTTTTACAGGTGGCATTTCCCTTCGACAAGAATAGCAAGAATGTTCAAGAACAAATCCGAAAAATGTTGGAAATGTCATCAGACACCTGGCTCATACTACCATATGTGGTGGACTTGTGCGGATGCTAGAAAATACTGGACCAAAATCCACATGTGGTTGGAAAAAATGACAAAAAAAACATATAGATTTGAAACCAGAGATATTTTTATTGGGAATTTTATCTGATACATATAGCAAAGACTTGAAATACCTGATTGTAAATGTATTAACAGCAGCTAGGATTGTATTTGCTAAAAACTGGAAAAATGAGAAAATACCATCGCAGGAGGAAATCATTAAGAAAATATTGGAATGTGCTGAAATGAGTAGATTGACATTTGAAATTAGAGAATAAGAGGATAAACAATTTTATAAAATTTGGGACCTTTTCTATCAATGGTTAGATAATAAAACACAATAATGAAATATGTAGAACTTTAGAAAATAATAAATATATAAGGATGTATTTTTTTATTATTATAACTACAAAATGTTTTTAGGATAGATTTGGGAGGATTATATGAATTGTTATAAAATAAACTAAGTAAACTATGGTTATCTCGCAAAATATGAAGGAATAAAATTATTGTCAAATGATTGATTAATAAAGATACTAGGGTATTCAATTTTTGATTGATAATATGAGCTATTATGCAATGTAACTGTAACTGAAGACTATGAAATGGATGCACAAAATTTTTTTGTAAACCAACCGGCACATTGCTTGTATACTTATGGAAGAAAGTTTGATGTTTTTATGTTTTGTTTGTTTATGTTTGTTTTAAAAAAACCAATAAAATTTACAAAAAAAAAGTATATGGGACAGGAGGATGAAGTTGGGCAATGTTCCTCAGGTAACCTGTCCTATGCCTTAATCAGTAGAACAATCAGTAGTAAATCTTCTGGACAGAGATTTATTGCACACATCACTTGCCTTAGAGTTGAGTCATTCATTTCAGATCTCCTATCTAACCCAGAGCAGTAAACAATAAAAAAGGGAGGGAAAGTAGTATTATAGGTATATTGAACTTGCTCATTACTTTCTTTCATTTTAGATAGGAGTAACGGCTGACTTTAAAAAAAGGTTTATATAATTTTAACACTTGGTGAAACCCATGAAATGCAGGGTGTCAAAGAGCGAATCCACACAGCTTCCTTGCCCTGGTATCAGGATGGTTCACTAACCATTTCCAGAAGTTGGGTCCACAAGCCACAGCCTATACCTCCATTGTCCATCTGCAGCTGATACAGCTAGAGGATGAATTTAGACACTGCTCCAAATGTGGCGCTTTTCCTCCACTCTTATCATCAGGTGCTTCATGTGGGCAACAAGGAGTCTGTTGCTGTGCATGGGAGAGGCAGTCTGCAACAGTCTGTTCTCTGTTGGCACATGGGTGGTTCCATGGGTGGTTCGAAAAAATTGCTGATTTTTGGAGGGACCAGCCTCTTTCATCTTGAAAGTTTTAAATGATTTAATAAAGTGGATGCTATGCTAATCTTTTAGCTAATCTTTTATATTGTTTCGTATATTTTAATTTGCAATAGATCTATGTTTTAATCTTTTTTTAAAAAAGAAACACATTTTGCAAACCTCCTCCCTCCTATATGATTCAGTCCTTTGGAAAGGTAATGTATTTCAATAACCTATATGTCTAACAATTGCTAAGCTAAGGGCTTGACATAGTTACATTGCATAATAGCTCATATTATCAATCAAAAATTGAATACCCTAGTTATCAGTCTTCCTTCCTTTTCATGATCCTTTCCTTCCTTTTCCTTTCTTCTTTTCCTTTCATCCCCTCCCCTCCCTTCTTCATTTATCCTCTCAGAACTAGCCTGGAACCTTTCCAATGTTCAATCTTAAAGTTGCCATGGTTGGATACCTTTGGCCTAAAGCATTTTTTTACTCTTTTAAAAAAAGTTCCACAGGTAGAAAAAAGCTTTATGGGTAGAGGAGAACATGGCAGCTGAAGAAATTGTGCGTTTAGGAAGTAACCATGTCACGATTGTCACCCATGCCAAAATGGAGCTTCTAAGTAGAGATAGATTCTGAGAAATGTTTTTCATGTGATCTCTCATCTGCTCAGAACTGTCTAGTTTCTCTTGACATTCAATAGTTTTTCTTCATAACTCTCCTGTAGGCACAATAAAAATATTTATTTTACCTCTACTCTTCGTTTAGGACCTTCAGATTTCATCTCTTTTCTCTTATCCATTATAAAACATGCTAAGTTTGATGATGAGCTAATAATTGTTTTCTATACATGAATATGCAGAATATATCTCTGCTTTCTTGAGAATGAATCCAAAAGGACAAGAGCAAAACAAAAGCCAGTGAGACAAATGATTGCAAAACAGAAATAAAGAATCCTGTTTGATTAAAGATGCATGTATTAATAATAAGTATTGGTTTCATTCCCCAGTGTCTTCATATCTGCCAAACCCCCAGCTGGTTTGCCAAAATGTGGATGCTCGGGGTGCTTTTGTCGCTTGTCCATCAGGTGAGAACTAATAACTTGTGGGAGAAGATCAGGAGCTAAGTGAAGAGGATTGGGTGGGGAAAATATCCCCTCTATCAAACCCCTTTTTCTGACATCTGTCTGCCTTGTGCATGCATGGGTACAAAATGTAAACTAAGCTAGACTGCTGAAGGAATCCGCTTAGTTTGGCATTTATATCACAATTGTTCCAAACACTCAAATGAAGTAACACAGGTCTGTATAACTTTCATCTTTTCTAACTTTCTTTTCATTTTCTTTTTATTGCCTAGATTTTCTACTGACTTCATGTGCCTGTGGAATGGCTTGTGGGTCTTGGGATATTCGTCAAAACTCAATTTGACACTGCCAATGTGCCAATATTGACTGGACTTCAGCCCGGTGCTGCAAAGTCTCTTAACTGATGGCTCCTAAGCCGCTTTGATGGCAGGTTGGCTCCAGTTTTTGTGCTCAATAAAAGTATGGATTCTATGGGGGACTTCTGGTTTGCAGGGCTTCGGCGGCAGCAGAAATCCACTATCATGCATGGTTTCTGCTTGCGCTCACCGCTGGAGTGCCCCGAACCAGCCGGCTTCGGGGCTAAAGCCACCCCGTAGAGGTGGTTGAAGACAGAGAAGACCCGGCAGGGTTCAAGGGGAGCCGCACCTCCCCTCCTCAGCTGGCTTAACTCCCTTTTCCGAAGGCGGTAAGAGCGGCAGTCAGAAATGGCCGCCACAAAGAAGCACTCATCCGGAAAAGAATGTGCAGGAGGAAGTTAAGAAGTGAAAGTTTTGGCTGACCGGGAGAAGAAGCAATATTCAAGATATCCTGGAATTTAAATTTTAAAAAAGATACATCGCTCCCAAAGAAGATCCGGAAGCAGCGAATGAAAGTGAAAAGGGAAAGTTTGTTTTTCTCACTCTCCTTTCTTACGGTGACAGCAGATGAATGAGGAATCGGAAAAACCCGCTTTGGCATCAGCAGGTAATTAAACTGGAAAATTAAAGCCAAGGGGACAATAAAGATTTCTGAACACTGAAAAAACTTTTTTTCGTTGTAAGTGGGAAGGGAGAGGAAAAGAATAAGAGTAAGATTTGGCTGGAGGAGACTGCTTGGAATTTAAAAGACTAAAGCTAAATTATAACAAGACTTCTAAAAGATACATTTTAATTGGAACTTTGTAACTGAATTGCAACCCCAGGAAGAGAAAGTGAAAAAAGAAGAAAGTGTTAAATGAAACAGCTTGTGTGTATTTGGACTGTTTGGTGACTTTGGGACTTTTGGAAATTATATTTGAATGATTAAAAATACTTGGGTGGTTGTTTAAAATTTTTTTTACAATGGCATCACTTGTGGATGAACTGAAAATGGAATTCAAAAAATATAAAGAAGAGGAACAAGAAGGGAAGGGCTATTTTGGCTCCGTTTTTCATTTTTTAGAAATGGCGATCTCTACCTATGAGAAACTACAAGAACAAAAAGATTGGGACAAAGAAGAAGCCATCTTTAATGAACAAGTAACTTTATCTGGGGAAGAAAGGGGAAAGGGGGGAAAGAGAATGGAGAATTTAAGACCTAAAAAAACAAACAAAAAAGGGAAAAATAAGGTGAAAAGTGGATATAATGTCAGAAAGCAACAGAAAAGAGGAATACAGAAGAGGGAAATGGAGATGAAGAGACAAGGGGGTAAAAAGGGTAGAGTGGAGAAGCAAGGGAGGAAGGAAGGGAAGAGAAGCTACAAAGGTTTGAAACAAGATGTAAAGAAACAGGATTTATTTAGAGATAATGGGTAAAAATATAACTGAAAAAGAGATTCTGCAAAGGTACATAAGATTGTATTGTTGTATTTGTATTAGAAATAATGTTAGAAAATTGGAACAACATATGATTATAAAATGGGATAAAATATTCAATGTAATTCAGTGAATTTTTTTTTTGAACAAAATAAATGAAATGAAACATGAGAGTATTGAATTAAGAAGGAATGGGAACATTTAAATTACATAATGTTTTAAAATATAAGTGAAATGGGGGGGAAGCAACTATGCAAAATTTATAAGTGTTCCCATAGAAGCATGATACCTATTTGAAAAGGAATGTGTAAAATGTTTAAGATTGAAATGAATATTAATTTTAACCATAGAGTTCAATTGGTATGGATTGTTGTTTTATATAAAAAGAACAGAATTGGCCCTAATTAGAAATGAACTTCACACAAAAAGATTTCTCCTAGACCAAATCAACAAAGATCTTCTTACACTTCACCTCAGACTCAGCAACAAGATTCACCCCTTACTTTGGGACAAATCCAAACAACTCGCTGTCTGGAGAGCCGAAACACAGACCACCCTCAAGACAGACACACACACCAACAAACTCAGAAAACTACAACAATGCCAGAAACCAACTCCCCCCCCTCACAACCACACATGAAACAAACAGTGCACAACATCTCAGACAAGATCCTCACCGAAGCCGAAACCAAGGTCCTTTCAAAAGGATTCAACTTTGCTGTTGCTCCCAAACACATCCCCACAGAAACCATCATATGCGGAGTTGAAACCAGCCTGACCAAAACCAACCCTGATGAGGCTAATAGAATCAGACTCGAAATCACCAACATCCTCTGCACTAGCAAACCACCCAAAAGCAACTTATCCAAAGAAGAACAAACTGCACTACGTAACCTGAAAGAAGACACCAGCATAATAATCCTACCAGCAGACAAGGGCAACGCAACAGTGGTTATGAACACATCTGACTACCAAACCAAGTTAACCAACCTACTCCTAGACCCCACATACAAACCCCTAAAGACAGACCCCACCACCTACCTAGAAAAAACCACCAGATCCAAAATAAAAGCCTCCCCCATCAGTGAAGAAATCCAGCAAAGAATCATACCCAGAGAGAAATCATCCAGATGCCCTAAGCTTTATGGTCTCCCCAAGATACACAAAGAAGGAACTCCACTTAGACCAATAGTCAGCTCCATAGGCTCACCTCTACAAAACCTAGCCAAATTTCTCGCCAAACAACTACAGCCCTATGCAGAATCCATCAACTCACATGTAAGAAACTCATTCCAGTTCATCGAGATCATAAAGAAACAAAACTTACAACCCAGCGACCTACTAGTTAGCTTCGATGTCATATCCCTCTTCACCCAAGTGCCAATAAAAGAAGCCTTGACAGCCATCCAAAACAAATACAACCCCCCCAAGCACATCCTAGATCTGACCAACCACTGTCTATCCAATACATACTTCACCTACAATGGACAAAAATACAAACAAATAGAAGGAGCACCCATGGGATCACCCCTCTCACCTGTCATCGCAAACCTCTACATGGAACACTTTGAAACACAAGCTCTAGAAAAATATGATCACAAACCCAAACTCTGGCTCAGATACGTAGATGACACCTTCATAATCTGGCCACACGGGAAAGAAAAACTGAACAACTTCCTCACACACCTCAACAGCCTACACCCCAAAATACAATTCACCATGGAAACAGAAGCTAACAATCAACTTCCCTTCCTAGATGTCTTGGTATACAAAAAACCCAATGGCTCCCTAGGACACACCATCTACCAAAAGAAAACACATACAAACCGCTATCTACACGCACTCTCACACCACCACCCAGCACAGATCAATTCCGTAGCTGAGACACTCATCTCCAGAACAAAATGCTTAGCTGATGAACAACACCTAAAAACCGAACTAAACACCCTCACCAACGTACTAACAGCCAATGGATTTCAAAGAAAGAAGATCACCCACCTAATCCAAAAAGAAACCCCAACCAAAATCCAAGACAGAGAACAAGAGAACGGCAAAGCCCTCCTCCCATATATAAA